CAGCGCTGCGGTACTTTAACTAAAATGATTGCTCTCACTGCGACGTTCGCGGCGATATGTAACATGTGTAGCGCAATTGTAATTTTTGCGCGCTGGGGCACCGGACGCGTATTTACGTTTATAGGCGCGTAAACGTGGGGGTGGGGGAGTTAAACATTTTGGGGGGGTTTTTTCCCCTTTTTTTATATCTGGCTTTTATTTTATTTTTTTATGTGTTACTTTTCTTTTTTTTTATTTATATATTTTTTTTTTGCACTTATTGTTATTGCTATTATATAGGGGGATAACAACCCCCTATATAATAGCAAAGGCACACTGACAGGTCCTCTTTATGGAGATATTAGGGGTCTCTAGGACCCCTAATATCACCTATGGACCCCAAAAGAAGCTGATAAAGCAGAGATCTGCTTTATCAGCTTCTTCTCTCTCCAGATGACTGACAGGTGAATGCGGAAGTGATGTAACACACATCACTTCTGCATTCACAGCCCGGACGGGGATCAGCAAGGAGCTGATCTCCCGTCCTCCTCCTCCTGACGCCCTCGGAGCCGGTCCCGGGATCCAAGATGGGGCAGCGGATCCCGGGAATCAAGGTGAGGGGTCAGGGGGGAGGGAAAACGAACGAGCACATATAGGCGATCGGCGGGCTATGGACCCGCTGATCGCCTATATGTGTGACACCCGGTACCGGGTGTGTGCATTGATCGGGTCTTTTCTGCCCGTGCGTGCCCGCTAGGTGGCGCGCGCGAGCAGAAAAAAATTGCCGTCTGGAGACGGCAACCCGCAGATGCAGCAGTGCCGTCCGTCCGTTTTTCTATTACGGGCGGACGGCAAGAGGTTAAATATAATGCTTCAACCATATCAAAAGAATCAAATCACATAATTAATTTGTATTTTTCATAACAGTGAAAGGACCACTGCCGATATCTTAGAAGAAAGCTGTTTAACGGGATGTGAAGTTTTGCCCGTGACTGAATCCTTTCTACTGCTTTTGCTGCAAAATGGCTTTTAGATCTTCCCAGATGGTTGATCTGCACTACTGCGTTGTCCAACTAAACCCTCCTTCCAGGAGGTCCATTGTTCTAGAGGCAAGCTACAGTAGGATCCAAGCAAACACAGGGGACACAGAGGGGAATAATTATCCCCCAGAGGTTCTTAGGCCTAACACATAGGGATATCAGCCCCATGAGCTGTGACTATTATGAAGCCAATAATGGGGTCATGCTTTCACAGACCATTCCTTTTTCACTTTCAATAAACAAATTGTTAGAAATCCAGCTGGAAGCAAGTGGCACCTTTATCATGTAGGCGGGGTGGAAACTAGGGATATACCGATACTTTTCGAGTACCAATGCTGATACTTGGCATTTTCATGAGAACTACCAGGGTTGCAGAGGTTGCAGCTGGGACCTGGCTCTGGCTCTCCATCACTGTCCTGAAATCATTAGTCTGTATTGTTTTAGAAAATGTGTCACATGACAATAAACAAATATGTATCAGTACTCATACTTGTAAGTACTTGGGCAAGTATCAGTACTTGTACTCGCAAAACTGGTATCGGTGCATCCCTTTATTTATATTTATAAATACAAAATTATACATTAAAACCGAGATGTACAAATCCCAGGAGCTCCTAACTTTTGAATTTTTCTCTAGTCTAGTCTTGGAGCTGGAAAAGTATCGGTACTTGTACCGAGTACTGTACTTGGTATCGTTTGCATCCCTAGTGGAAACCCTCACTACAACGTGTGAATCTCGCCACTCCTTCAGACAGATCTAAAAGACCAGTGGCTCAATCAAACTATCATTAACCACACAAGGATAAAATAATCTTTTTGCGGAGCTTCCAGCTTCTCAGCCACTGCAACTGTTTTATTTTTAAACTTCATTAAATGTGTTACTACAAATAATCATCTTTTACTAAGCTGCAATGTACATTGGATTGGAACAACTGTAGACAATTGAAATATTATGTGACTACTATTAGTCTGCCATCACTCTATCTTGTTTCTCTTTCAGAGATGATTTGAGATGTTGACAAGCTGCTTGTCAAGGTGGATGGGCCTCAGCCAAATATGGCTTCTGAACTATGCCAGACCATCTCTGTGGCCAAGTTGGAAAGACACAAAAATCTCTTCTTAAATTATCGAAACTTAAACCATTTTCCTCTGGAGCTGCTGAAGGATGAAGGGCTTCAATATCTTGAGAGGCTTTACATGAAGAGGAACTCGTTAACTTCACTGGTAGGTATCGCATGAAAAAGGTATAGAGTTTTCACTGCTTCTGCTGCAGTCTTCCAAGTTTCATCAGCGACATACACTGCCTGTTCAAAAAAAGTCACACACTCTAATATTTAATTGGACTGCCTTTAGCTATCATTACGGCACACATTCAGCCTTGCAACATTTCAATAAGCTTATGCAATGTCACAACATTTATTCCCATCCAGAGTTGTATTCATTTGTCACCAAGATCTTGTAGTGATGATGGGAGAGTTGGACCACTGCGTAAAGTCTTCCCCAGGACATCCCAAAGATTCTCAATGGGGTTAAGTCCTGGACTATGTGGTGGCCAATCCATGTGCGAAAATGATGTCTCATGCTCACTGAACCACTCTTTCACAATCTGAGCCCAATGAATCCTGGCATTGTCATCTTGGAATATGCCCAATGTGCTAAAAGGGGAGAAAAAAATCCATTGATGGAAAAACCTGATCATTCAAATAGGCAGCTGACCTCATTTTATGGTCACATAACATTGCTGAACCTAGACCTGTTATCCAATGTAAGGCTCTGACCTATTTGCTGAGCTAAACCCAGGTAGTGACTATTTTTTTGGACAGGCAGTGTAGCTTTGTAATTCATCTGTGCTTTGGAAAACCAATATGGGCTAAATTGCAATGGGGTTACCTAAAGCTTGGGGGTCTGCCACCAACCAGCTACTTATCATGGTAGATAAAATTCCATGACTTTCTACTATTTAGTTCTTGAGACGCCATGTTTGTCAGCTGATTCACTTTTGTTTAAAGGAGAACTATGGGGTCAGGGCTTTTCCCCATAGTTCTCCTTAGGGTAACGGGAGGACACAAACTAGCGTCCTCCCGTCACCCTAGGCTCAGTATACCGCGAGCTACAGCTGCGATGTCGAGATCCGCCCAGCTGCGTGAGTGACAGCTGGCTCTGCCTATCTAGAGGCAGAGCAAGCTGTACCCGCCCCCTCCCCCGTCCGTTCCGCCAGTCAGCGCTGGCGCATCGGGGAGGGGGGAATC